CAAGGAGAACAGTAGTCATCACAGATTCACAGAATGGATGAGGCAGAAGTAGGGAGATCGTTCCACTGCAGCTCCTCAGGTACAGCTTCCCCTCCAGCAAGGAAAACAGTAGTCATCACAGATTCACAGAATGGATGAGGGTGAATCCTTCCATTTCACCTCTTCAGGTATAGCTTCCCCTCCAGCAAGGAAAACAGTGGTCATCACAGATCCACAGAATGGATGAGGGTGAAGCAGGGAGATCCTTGAACAGTAATTTCAAACATCTCACACTTCAGATACACAACTCTGAGGCTCAAGGCCCAGCATTGCCCCGGCACAGGAAGTGCACTGAATGGCAGGAGTAACTCCAGACAAAGAGGCGGGCTTTTCAGCTTAGGGACCATTAACACTCCTATAAGAAAGCAGATCTTTATTCGTAGAGTTCAGTTACATGGTGGCTTCTTATATCCTCATGAGACTCCAGGGGTCAGAAATTCCCAGCCCCACCCACCTCCTGTGGCTGATGATGTCATTGTTACGTGAGGCGCCTGGACAGTGCAGCGGCGTAACAGTGATGCCTTCGGCCTTGTGTGAGGAAGCCAAAAAAATCCTTCACTGCAAAAAGCTGCTGAGCAATTCAGCCTGCTGCCAGCATAGTCATGGCGCCATTTATACGGCCAAAAAACTTTCTCAGGCCCGCCCCTCTATGGAGGGCTTAGTCGTTCCTCAGGCCCGCCCCTCTATGGAGGGCTTAGTCGTTCCTCAGGCCCGCTCCTCTATGGAGGGCTTAGTCGTTCCTCAGGCCCGCCCCTCTATGGAGGGCTTAGTCGTTCCTCAGGCCCGCTCCTCTATGGAGGGCTTAGTCCGTTCCTCAGGCCCGCTCCTCTATGGAGGGCTTAGTCGTTCCTCAGGCCCGCCCCTCTATGGAGGGCTTAGTCGTTCCTCAGGCCCGTCCCTCTATGGAGGGCTTAGTCGTTCCTCAGGCCCGCCCCTCTATGGAGGGCTTAGTCGTTCCTCAGGCCCGCTCCTCTATGGAGGGCTTAGTCGTTCCTTAGGCCCGCTCCTCTATGGAGGGCTTAGTCGTTCCTTAGGCCCGCTCCTCTGTGGAGGGCTTAGTCGTTCCTCAGGCCCAGCTCCACTATGGAGGGCTTAGTCGTTCCTCAGGCCGCTCCTCTACGGAGGGCTTAGTCGTTCTTCAGGCCCCGCTCCTCTATGGAGGGCTTAGTCGTTCCTCAGGCCCGCTCCTCTATGGAGGGCTTAGTCGTTCCTCAGGCCCGCTCCTCTATGGAGGGCTTAGTCGTTCCTCAGGCCCGCTCCTCTATGGAGGGCTTAGTCGTTCCTCCTCAGGCCCGCTCCTCTATGGAGGGCTTAGTCATTCCTCAGGCCGCTCCTCTATGGAGGGCTTAGTCGTTCCTCAGGCCGCTCCTCTGTGGAGGGCTTGGTCGTTCCTCAGGCCCAGTCCACGATGGGGGGCTTAGTCGTTCCTCAGGCCCGCTCCTCTATGGAGGGCTTAGTCGTTCCTCAGGCCCGCTCCTCTGTGGAGGGCTTGGTCGTTCCTCAGGCCCGCTCCTCTCGGGCTGATCACAGCCGGCAGTTTAATCTCAGCTGATTGCACCATTTATGTATGAAATGTCCTCCGGCCGTACTTACCTCCAGAATGAGAGGCTGTCCGTTCTCTACCCGCCAATCAGATCTGTCATCTCGAGGCCTTCTCCCCTCCCCCACAATAAAGAGGGATAGGGACAGTCCTTATATACAGTATGGTATATACCCGGTCTTGGGATACGCTCATACCGTCTTGTGTGATGGTGAGAATAGATCCGGCAGGAGACCAGATACAAGATAAAAGGTGATTGGACCGATTCTGCCTTGATTGGTTCCTGCGTTTTCTAAATCATCTTATCTCCAAATTATTAAAAATACCACTAAAGTCACTCAAAACCAGATCAGAATTCAGACGGTTCCCCAGGACCAGTCCAACATTCACTCCATGGCTGATTCAGACCAGTGATTGGGCAGCAAATAGGAACCTCTGAACTCCGGTGATTCACCGATAAACTGATGAAGTGGCAGATGAGCCACAAAACGCGTCTTTTGCTGTAATAAATAAATTGATGGTCATTACTTTACCAACACGATTTTGACCCGTACAGTGAAGGAAATGCGTATTTGCCCCCCTGATGATGGTGAATGTTGGCCCCTCACACAGAAACGATCGGTCTAACAATGGAATGTTCGCCCCTCACACAGAAATGATCGGTCTAACAATGGAATGTTCGCCCCTCACACAGAAACGATCGGTCTAACAATGGAATGTTCGCCCCCTCACACAGAAACGATCGGTCTAAACAATGGAATGTTCGCCCCTCACACAGAAACGATCGGTCTAACAATGGAATGTTCGCCCCTCACACAGAAACGATCGGTCTAACAATGGAATGTTCGCCCCTCACACAGAAACGATCGGTCTAACAATGGAATGTTCGCCCCTCACACAGAAACGATCGGTCTAACAATGGAATGTTCGCCCCTCACACAGAAACGATCGGTCTAACAATGGAATGTTCGCCCCTCACACAGAAACGATCGGTCTAACAATGGAATGTTCGCCCCTCACACAGAAACGATCGGTCTAACAATGGAATGTTCGCCCCTCACACAGAAACGATCGGTCTAACAATGGAATGTTCGCCCCTCACACAGAAACGATCGGTCTAACAATGGAACGTTCGCCCCTCACACAGAAACGATCGGTCTAACAATGGAACGTTCGCCCCTCACACAGAAACGATCGGTCTAACAATGGAACGTTCGCCCCTCACACAGAAACGATCGGTCTAACAATGGAACGTTCGCCCCTCACACAGAAACGATCGGTCTAGCAATGGAACGTTCGCCCCTCACACAGAAACGATCGGTCTAGCAATGGAACGTTCGCCCCTCACACAGAAACGATCGGTCTAGCAATGGAACGTTCGCCCCTCACACAGAAACGATCGGTCTAACAATGGAATGTTCGCCCCTCACACAGAAAATGATCGGTCTAACAATGGAATGTTCGTCCCTCACACAGAAATGATCGGTCTAACAATGGAATGTTCGCCCCTCACACAGAAATGATCGGTCTAACAACGGAATGTTCGCCCCTCACACAGAAACGATCGGTCTAACAATGGAATGTTCGCCCCTCACACAGAAATGATCGGTCTAACAATGGAATGTTCGGTGTAACACTGAGAGACAGAATACAACAACAAATTCAGCAGAAATGCGTCTAACAAATGATGACGGATCTGCATGTTCATGAGGGAAAGAAGGATTTGATCCCCTATCATTCAGCAGGATTTCTGGCTCCCAGGTGTCTCTCATACAGGTAACAAGCTGAGATTAGAAGCAGTCTCTTAAAGGGAGTGCTGCTAATCTCATTGTGTTACCTGTATAAAAGACACCTGTCCACAGGAGCCATCAAACCATCAGATTCCAAACTCTCCACCATGGCAAAGACCAAAGAGCTGTCCAAGGATGTCAGGGACAAGATGGTAGACCTACACAAGGCTGGACTGGGCTACCAAACTATGGCCAAGCAGCTTGGTGAGAAGGTGACAACAGTTGGTGCAATCATTCACAAATGGAGAAACACAAAACAAGTGTCAGTCTCCCTAGGTCTGGTGCACCATGCAAGATCTCACCTCGTGGAGTGTCAATGATCATGAGAACAGTGAGGAATCATCCCAGAACTACACGTGAGGATCTTGTCAATGATCTCCAGGCAGCTGGGACCACAGTCACCAAGAAAACAATTGGTAACACACTACGCCGACAAGGACTGAAATCCTGCAGTGCCCGCACGGTCCCTCTGCTCAAGGAAAGCCCATGTCCAGGCCCGGCTGAAGTCTGCCACTGAACATCTGAATGATGCCGAGGAGGACTGGTGGGAAGTGTTGTGGTCAGAGGAGACCAAAATCCAGCTCTTTGGCATCAACTCAACTCGCTGTGTTTGGAGGAGGAATGCTGCCTATGACCCCAAGAACACCATCCCAACTGTGAGACATGGTGGTGGAAACATTCTGCTTTGGGGGTGTTTTTCTGCTAAGGGGACAGGACAACTGCACCGCATCAAAGGGACGATGGACGGGGCAATGTACCCTCAAATCTTGGGTGAGAACCTTCTTCCCTCAGCCAGGGCATTGAAAATGGGTGGTGGATGGGTGTTCCAGCATGACAATGACCCAAAACACACGGCCAAGGCAACAAAGGAGCGGCTCAAGAAGAAGCACATTAAGGTCCTGACTTCGACCCATTTGTACCTACCTACAACTACCCATCTATAACCAACAGCACATGAAGACCATGGACATCTCTGCCGAACAAGTATTTGATGTTTTATTTGTGTTGCTCCTGCGTTCTCCAACCATCCTGATACCTCCTGGTAGGATCTAGGACTGTGTTCCTGAGCCATGAAGAACACGCAAAGATCAGTGCTGGCTGTGGATCCCACGGGTGCTCCATGTATGCAATGTAGGATCTGGCAGGGGTCTTGTACAGAAGATATGATGGATCTTTGTTTACAAGGCTCTTCTCGCCTGCTCCTGTGCTGTACAATGTGATGTCCTTGTAATATCAGATCCTCACTAAGCCTCGTAATGTGATTACCAAAGTCATATATTCATCTGATTACAATGGTGCCATCTGCTGGCCACACCCCCCTGCGCTCAGCCGAATAATCCGGGAACAAAGAGGCCGGATATGAAGACCACCAATTACCACGTTCTCTATAGAAGGGCTGAGCGGACAAAGTGTTGTGTCCACCTGGGAGTGAGGAGAATCTGCACCCCCAGAGGTCATTGTGCCGGGGATCGTCCGTATACAGACTGGGGACGGAACACCGGAACCTCTACCAACGCAGCTCTTCTATCCTGGAAGACATGATGGCAGCAGATTTGTAACATCACATTATCTCCAGTGTCCGTGACACCAGCGAGCTCTGCACCCCATGATATCCACACTATACTGCCCGATGTATTGTCCCCGTCCTCTATATCATGTGATTTCAGGTGCTCCAATCCCCTCCATATCATGTGATTCAGGTGTTCCAATCCCCTCCATATCATGTGATTCAGGTGTTCCAATCTCCTCCATATCGTGTGATTCAGGTGCTCCAATCCCCTCCATATCATGTGATTCAGGTGTTCCAATCCCCTCCATATCATTGATTCAGGTGTTCCAATCCCCTCCATATCATTTGATTCAGGTGTTCCAATCCCCTCCATATCATGTGATTCAGGTGCTCCAATCCCCTCCATATCATGTGATTCAGGTGCTCCAATCCCTCCCATATCATGTGATTCAGGTGCTCCAAATCCAATCCCCTCCATATCATGTGATTCAGGTGCTCCAATCCCCTCCATATCATGTGATTCAGGTGCTCCAATCCCCTCCATATCATGTGATTCAGGTGTCCAATCCCCTCCATATCATGTGATTCAGGTGTTCCAATCCCCTCCATATCATGTGATTCAGGTGCTCCAATCCCCTCCATATCGTGTGATTCAGGTGTTCCAATCCCCTCCATATCATGTGATTCAGGTGTTCCAATCCCCTCCATATCATGTGATTCAGGTGTTCCAATCCCCTCCATATCATGTGATTCAGGTGCTCAATCCCCTCCATATCATGTGATTCAAGCCCCTAGGCATGCAGACGGCTCCTACAAACATGGTGAAGAATGGGTCACCAATCTCAGGAGCTCAGTGACTCAAGCGTGGTCCCGTGATAGGTGGCCACCTGGGCAATAAGTCCATTCCGTGACATTTCCTGGCTACTAAATATTCCACGCTCAGCTGTTAGTGGGATTATAACAAAGTGGAAGCCACTGGAACAAACAGCCACTCAGCCACCAAGTGGTAGGCCACGTCATATGACAGGGCGGGGTCAGCGCATGCTGAAGCGCACAGAAGTCACCAACTGTCTGCAGAGTCAATAGCTAAAGACCTCCAAACTTGGTGTGGCCTTCAGATGAGCCCAACAACAGAGCATAGAGAGCTCCATGGAATGGGTTTCCATGGCCGAGCAGCTGCATCCAAGCCTTCCATCACCAAGTGCAATGCAAAGCGTCGGATGCCGTGGTGTAAAGCACGCTGCCACTGGACTCTAGAGCAGCGGAGGCGTGTTCTCTGCAGGGACCAATCACGCTTCTCTGTCTTGCAATCCGATGGACGTGTCTGGGTTTGGTGGTGGCCAGGAGAACGGTACTTGCCTGACTGCATTGTGCCAAGTGTAAGGTTTGGTGGAGGGAGGATTATGGTGAGGGGTTGGGCTTGGCCCCCTAGTTCCAGTGAAGGGAACTCTTAAGGCAACATTTTGGACAATTTCATGTTCCAACATGACTGCCCCCCAGTGCACAAAGCAAGGTCCATAAAGACATGGAGGAGCCAGTTTGGGGTGGAGGAACTTGACTGTCCTGCACAGAGTCCTGACCTCAACCCCATAGAACACCTTTGGGATGAATTAGAGTGGAGACTGTGAGCCAGGCCTCCTCCCCCGCCTCCTGCCCCTCCCCCGACATCAGTGCCCCTCCCCCGACATCAGTGCCTGACCTGACAAATGTGCTTCTGGAAGAATGGTCCAACCTTCCCATAGACACCCTCCTAAACCTTGTGGATGGCCTTCCCAGAAGAGGTGAAGCTGTTATAGATGGAAAGGGCGGAGCCAACTCAATATTGAACCCTACGGACTAAGACTGGGGGGCCATGAAAGGTCATGTGTGTGGAAAGGGCGGGGCCAACTCAATATCGAACCCTACGGACTAAGACTGGGGGGCCATTAAAGGTCATGTGTGTGGAAAGGGCGGGGCCAACTCAATATCGAACCCTACGGACTAAGACTGGGGGGCCATTAATATCATGTGTGTGGAAAGGGCGGCGGCCCCAATACTGCGGGAAATATAGCGTAGCTCCCCCCCCCCCCCCCCCAGTATCCATGACACCAGTGAGATTATCATTCATACTCCCATGCAGGCCCTGATGCCTATTACACAACGTGCTCCTCATGCACTATTAACTACACTCCCCATATCCATTACACCTCTCTAGATTTATGCAGTGCCTCATACCTCTCACCATGCAGGCCTCAGCCTCCCCATTGTCCAGTGTCCTCACCTCTGTATTCTATGCAGTCATATGCCTCGGTATTACATGCAGTGCCCATACCTCTCTATTCTAGCAGTGCCTCATACCATTCTGAGCAGTGCCTCATGCACCTCTCTATTCTGTGCAGTGCCTCATACCTCTCTATTCCGTGCAGTGCCTCATACCTCTCTATTCTATGCAGTGCCTCATACCTCTCTATTCTATGCAGTGCCTCATACCTCTCTATTCTATGCAGTGCCTCATCATACCTCTCTATTCTATGCAGTGCCTCATACCTCTCTATTCTGTGCAGTGCCTCATACCTCTCTATTCTGTGCAGTGCCTCATACCTCTCTATTCTATGCAGTGCCTCATACCTCTCTATTCTATGCAGTGCCTCATACCTCTCTATTCGCAGTGCTCATACTCTCTATTCCGCAGTGCCTCATACCGCTCCCGTGCAGTGCCTCATACCTCTCTATTCCGTGCAGTGCCTCATACCTCTGTATTCCGTGCAGTGCCTCATACCTCTCTATTCTATGCAGTGCCTCATGCCTCTCTATTCCGTGCAGTGCCTCATGCCTCTGTATTCCGTGCAGTGCCTCATGCCTCTGTATTCCCGTGCAGTGCCTCATGCCTCTGTATTCCGTGCAGTGCCTCATGCCTCTGTATTCCGTGCAGTGCCTCATGCCTCTGTATTCCGTGCAGTGCCTCTGTGCTCTTATTACATACTGTTTTTCATGCGATGCCTCATCATTTCTGTTACACAAGGTACCCATGATTCTTATTAGACGGTGCCTCATGCCTCTATAAGGACTGATACCTCTGTCACACACAGTGCCTCATACCTCTCTTATATACAGAGTACCGCATACCTTTCTATTGCTCACAATGCTGTTCTCCTGTGTTGCTCAGGCTGTGATCACAATCCGGGTGATAAAAATGTGGGAGACTTCAGAAATGTTTACTCCTACATGCAGCAGACTGGTGATGTCATCTCAGCCTGAAGGAGGAGAGACTGAGGAAATGCTTCCTCCTGCCTGCAGCAGACTGATGACATCATCTTGGCCTGGGGGGAGGGACGACTGAGGAAATGCTTCCTCCTGCCTGCAGCAGACTGGTGACATTGTCTCGGCCTGAAGGAGGAGAGACTGAGGAAATGCTTCCTCCTGCCTGCAGCAGACTGATGACATCATCTTGGCCTGGGGGAAGGGACGACTGAGGAAATGCTTCCTCCTGCCTGCAGCAGACTGGTGACATTGTCTTGGCCCGGGGGAAGGGACGACTGAGGAAATGCTTCCTCCTGCCTGCAGCAGACTGATGACATCATCTTGGCCTGGGGGAAGGGACGACTTCCTCCTGCCTGCAGCAGACTGATGACATCATCTTGGCCTGGGGAAACGACTGAGGAAATGCTTCCTCCTGCCTGCAGCAGCAGACTGATGCTTCCTCCTGCCTGCAGCAGACTGATGACATCATTGGCCTGGGGGAAGGGACGACTGAGGAAATGCTTCCTCCTGCCTGCAGCAGACTGATGACATCATCTTGGCCTGGGGGGAGGGACGACTGAGGAAATGCTTCCTCCTGCCTGCAGCAGACTGATGAGGTCAGCCTAGGCGCAGTATGAAAGGTGGAGTAAAGCCGCTCTCTCTGTATATTGTGACATGTCGGGAAGATCCTCTGTCCTCCAGCGCGCAGCAGATTCCATAGTGCGATGACAGATGGCTGTGACCCGCGTCCAATCTTCTTCGCTGCAGTTGATTGTCGGGTAATTTGTGTTTGTGTGGGTGGCAGCTGGCCCAGCACGGCCGTCACTAATCATATTGGCATCTCAGGGTGTCTGCGCTCCAGACGGCTAATTATAGAAAACAATGGCGGACGAGCCGTCTGCATCCTTCAGCTCACATTCTCCTCGTTGTGCGATCCCAAATGTCGATGGATGTTCACCATACATAGGTGGGAGCCGTGTGACCCGCTGAGCTGTCATTCCGTCCAGCCAGTCCTGCCATTTACACAGCTCTGCCCTACAGAACAACCCTGGAGACCTGGTGCAGTTCAGTACATTGTCAGGTCTTGTCCCTCCCCCAGCCTGTGATTGGACAGGGAAGGAGAAGCAGCACAATGGTGAGTCACTCTGTTCTCTCCTCCTATCAGCATGCTTCTTATGTGCTGCTTCTCCCTGTCCCTGTCTGAGCTCTGCTGTACAGGGAGTGTAAGAGGCTGACACCAAGTCACATTCAGATGTGACAAAAATCCATCTTCACCCGCTCTTCCTTCCGGGGTGCTAAGCCAATCATTGGTCAGATCATCACTGGCATGCGGGGGAGGGGACTAGAGCAGACCAATGGGGTCTGGGGTGCGTCCAGGGAGGGGCGTGTGTACGGTGCGCCTTCTGGTGCCATCCTCCAGCATTGGGTAGGACCCACGCCTGTCCCAGAACTGGCTCCACCCCCGGGCTAGGTGATGGCCTCCTCCATCATCAGGTAGGACCCACGCCTGTCCCAGAACTGGCACCACCCCCGGGCTAGGTGATGGCCTCCTCCATCATCAGACAGAACCCATGGCTAGTTAATCCCTGACAGGTTCTCTTTGCAGTCCACAGTCTGCCTGCTGCAGGGATACGAGTCGCCTCCTAACATTCTGACCTATATGGGAGCTCTGTACCCCCCCGGCTGGTTGATGGCCTCCTCCAGCATTGGGTAGAACCCACGCTCTGTCCCCAGATCTGGCACCTCCCCCGGGCTATTTGCATGCCTCCTCCAGCAAAAAAGGAGGAAAAACCTACTGAGTGCACTAAGCAGCCTTGAGAGGAGGCCTGCGGGCGGCATTGGTGGAGGCTGCGAGGCTGGCACCTCCCCCATTGGTGGTGAGGCTCCGATCATCAGACGAACCCACGCCTGTCCCAGAACTGGCTCCACCCCATTGGTGGTGAGGCTGCGATCATCAGACAGAACGGTCCAGAACTGGTGGAGGCTGCGATGGCGGGCGGGCAGCATTGGGTGGAGGCTGTCCCAGAACTGGCGGGCCATTGGTGGATGGCATCTTCCAGGGCAGGCAGTGCCATGCCTGTCCCAGAACTGGCACCTCCCCCGGGCTAGGTGATGGCCTCCTCCAGCATTGGGTGGACCCACGCCTGTCCCAGAACTGGCTCCACCCCGGCTAGGTGATGGCCTCCTCCAGCATTGGGTAGAACCCACGCCTGTCCCAGAACTGGAGGGCTAGCGAGGCCTCCTCCAGCATTGGTGGAGGCTGCCCAGAACTGGCTCCACGGGCCATTAGGTGGATGGCTGCTCCAGGCGGATTGGGCCATTGGTGGAGCCTGCGAGGCAGAACGGCACCTCCCCCAGGTGGAGGTGCGAGGCCTCCTCCATTGGTGGAGGCTGCCCAGGCTGGCTCCATTGGTGGAGGCTGCATCAGGCGGACAGAACCATTGTCCCAGAACTGGCACCTCCCCCGGCTGGTGATGGCCTCCTCCAGCATTGGTGGAGGACTGCGAGGCCTGTCGGGCCATTGGTGGAGGCTGCCCCGGCTAGGTGATGGCGTGCCAT